GTCGCAGCGGATGAAAACATACATCTACCTTATTGGCGAACATTTGCGCGACTAAATCGCGAGAGGCCATCTCGCGCGGTTCCTGACCAAACCAGGAGATTGATTCGCTTCATCGCGAGAAGAATGGGCAGATCTGTCCTTCGTTCGTTTGAGAGATCTCTTATGAAAACAGGTCACGAGGTGTCAGTCCTTATAAATAGCCGAGGCTCAGAGAGGAGAAACTCGAGAACGAAAATTGGCCCCAATGGACCAACCGGTGCTACACCGCGAGGGCTAATTACTCGATTCATTACGCGATAAATGCTCACGCGATTAATTCCCGAGGCCTTATCACGCGATGACAACTGATGCGTTGGCTGTTAAACGACCTCCCTCGCGTCTTCCCATCGCGAAAGCACGGCACAAAAGAATCCTCAGCGCCGCGTCGATTTGCACACACGCTACGCGCAACTGCACGAAGAGAGCGACCCGGCGCTTCTTCAACCCTTGCGACCAACTCTCGCCTCGTTTAACCCTCTGACAGGCGCAGCACCTGACAGACACGGTTTCTCATTTCAAAATCACCAAGCTCACTAATCAAAATATCTCCGAGCTAGTACAAGAGGTGGGAGTTCCCATTTTTTTCAGCGGTACTATCTGTGACCCGCCGATTAGAGCGCGTTAAGTATAATTGATAAATAACTCATTAACTGCTGCTCTTGTATCAAGAAACGGCAAAGGGTTTTCGCATAGGTTGGTGTGGGACACCCTATATATGATACATTATAGAGCAAAATTTTTTTTAAACATGGTGACTCTAATATCTATTACAAGTTTACATAATAATACATTACAAGATACATGACAAATATGTAAAATATAAGAAATCTTATAATATACTATTATTATGATTACTGCTTAACAAAAAATTGACCACTGAATGTGTAAAACAATATATTATATTTCAGTATAAAACAATAGATATTCTGAACTTTACGTGAAGTGGTTGAAATATCGATCACAAACGTAAAAAGGGTTAAAAAAACATTATAGACATGAACATTCTATAATTACATCCACGAGAGAAATTCACTTGCGTCTCTGAGATACGCTGTGACCATTTGCACTACAAAACAGGTATCCACCTCGATCGGAGAGTTAATAAAACGTCGATCGAAACTGGTCCCGTCCCGCAAGCGGGTCGGTTGCTTGACGGGCTTGACGGGCGCGGACATCCTTAATACTGCTTTACGAGCATTTTGCGCCCGTAACAGTATAGCGTCCAAAACGGTTTAAAGGAGCGCGCGGAAGAGAGGGAGAATCATCAAGCGACGCTGAGGGGTGAGACCAAAGGTATACACGATACACACCGGGCCCGTGGTAGTGGTGGTGGTTATCTTACGATCCTCGTGAAGGTTCAGAATTGATGGTAGATAGCGACCGAAAGCGGCGGCGACGACGACAGGAAACTGGAAACTATTTACTCGAGGGACGATATTAAGGGTAGGAAGGGGTCGCTCTGAGGAGAAGGAGGAGGGAAAGAGCGAAGGAGCGGCTATATGAAAGCGGATAGGTCAGGGCGATATAACGCAACCCTCAGTACATTGTTGAGAACGGAAGGGACGATCGCGCGCGCGCGCGCGCGACAGGGTGGCGGTTGCAGGAATTTGAAGTCGCGAGAGCACAATGCAAACCGACGACGCGATCGAAATTCTTGGTGAGTTTTAATAAACTGTGTAAGGTTCTTACCGAGACGAACTCACGAGCTCGACGAGGTGAGAGGAAATGAGTGAGAGAAGGAGGGAGGAGAGGCGGTTTTCCCTTCCGAGACGATGTCGAAACTCGGGCGCGGCCGTGGAAGAGAGAGCCCGGGAGAGCCTCGTTTTTCTTCCATCCCCGTTCTCCCGCAGCCAGCCCGCTCCCCCTCCCTCGCGGCCGTACCCTCCTACACTTTTCAGGGATTTCGTCGAGAAGCAGAGATAAAAGTACGAGGAATTTATAGCGCAAAGAACGGATCTCTCTCGCAGGCAGTGGAGCGTGGGATCTGTGTATCAACGTTTCGCGACATATAGGGAGATATCGAGGGTAAGGGAAGCAAGAGAGAAGAGAGAGAGGGAAAGAAATATAAACAAGCAGGATGGGGTGGAAACGCAGACCCGCGGCGACGAGTTTTCGTCCCTCTTACGAGGCTTTGATTCGTTGTCACGTTAAAGGCCGACGAGGACGACGAGAGACGAATCGAACGACTCTGAGGCGTTAATAAACTCGGGAATCCGGAAGGAAACAGAAATCTAAATACGCAAGAATCCAATTATCGCGCTGACGCGCGCGTTCCTTCTCGCGACAGATGAACGCCACGGGCAAACCCTCCCTCTGCTTTCCTCCTTCCTCGTGTCCGCATCTCTTCATTCTTTCGTTATTAATTCCTAGGAATGCGATGAATGACGAACACTGCGGCGGGGTAATTCGCGGGTATTTTTGCGCGGACAGCTCGACGAGCGCGAACGCAGTTGCCGCGACGATTAGAGATTTTCGAGAGTAATGCTTTAAAAGTAACTGGGCGGCGGAAGAGGGAAGGAGAGAAAAAGAGACTGAGAGAAAATAGAGAGTAGGGAGAGAGAGAAGAGGGAGAGAGAAAAGGGAGAGAGAGCGTTTCTGAGAAACGCATAACACGGCGCACCGGCCAGGCTTTAGGGTTATTGCAGTCCATTTTCAATCCGCATATTCCCGCGGGACACGTGTGTTTCCACATGTACTCATATAGCGGGATCTAATGGCGAGACTCGCGCAATAACCTGCCGTTGCTCCACAGCTCGAAACTCCTCCATATCGCGTAGCACGCTTCTCGCGCTCCTGCCATATACCGAGTGGAACATTTCCGGGAGAAATGAAGTGAGAGAGAGAGGGAGGGAGAGGGAGGGGGAGAGTGTGTGTGTATGAGCGAGAGAGAGAGAGAGTAACAGAAAGCACGAAAACAAACTCGAAACGTAATTAACGTTTCGAGGTAGCATACGAGTCCCACGCGAAAGCCCCCAACAACTTGCGAATCTGAAACGGGTAATTTAAATTCTATTAAGAGAACACTGGCGGCGCTTGAGGAAGAGTTACTCGCACGGCCGAGAAGGAAAGAGAGAGAGAGAGAGAAAAGGGGGGAAAAATCTCTCCTTGAATTTTCAAAAAGTTCCCGCAAAAGTTGGCCGGCTCGCGATGCGCGCTCGCGAATTATTTCAGTTATCGAGTTATCTTTATGAAATTACCTTCGTTGTGCGAAACGGCAACATCACGACGGTATTCCCGCCCGTCCGTCCGTTCCTCGAAGACTTTAACTCGCGCGAAACTTCCCTCGGCGTGGCTTAATTGGAAGTCAGATTTTTCGTCGGATTTTCGCGCGTGACGCAAGAAAACCTCATCCTATTGCCGCGAGTGAGCGAGCGAGCAAGCGAGAGAGAGAGAAAGAGAGAATGTTGGAGATCCGTTTATTTGATAGGCGCGCTTTTCGTTTACGCCGCGTTCGAATAAATTCGATGTCACGCACGGATTGTCTATCATTCGCGTTACAGGTTTTATTGTCTTGTTTATAGGTGCGTGCGTTGCAACCATAAATGGCATACCGCATCATACACAAACCGCAAACATAAATTCTCTCTTTAATTCGAATGCCCGCGGATCAGAATCCTTTTATACGCGACGCATGCGTTGCGATTTTTTATCGAATACGTTATCCGCGCACTGGACAAATTTGAAATAACAACTGCAAACCGTTCAATCATGCTTAAGCATTAAAAGGTACACGCGCGTACACCAGACGCGTTTGCATATTTGTAGAGAAATTGCATCGATATGCAGAGAGATAGAGAGAGAGAGAGAGAGAGAGAGAGAGAGAGAGAGAGAGAGGAGCAAAGAGAGGACGTGGATTAGCGATTGGAATTTCGCGGCCGTGTGTTTTCACGTTTTCGCTCGATATCTCGTCTCTTCGAGACCTTCCATTCTACGCTCTTCACCATTAAGAAAAAGAAGAATACTGTCAGTCACAAAAATCAATCTTACAGTACGCGACCGTGATTTTACATTTGCTGTGCTTGCGAATATTTTCGCGATAACATCTCTATTATTTTTTAACTGTTTTCTTTTCTTACGCTTACAAGATATTTGTTATGTACTGTGTTAGCAGGGTTGCATAAGTTAATATCTTTTTTAACCCACCAAGTCTGAAATTAATGGCTCGTATAGTTAACAAGTTAAAAGTTAATTAACGATATATGCGTTTTTTCCATAATCAACTTTTTAATCATAGATTGTGTAAACCAATAAGAAAATAGTTTTCATTTATGAGAAAGAGCACTGACCGTGTTTTGCGCTGAGGATTTCGTATAAAACACTGGCGCTCAAAGAAATAAGAAAGATTGTGTTTTTTTTTTTTGGTTTTTCACATTCTGCAGTGGTTTCGACATTATTATGACGACTTATTTTGACTTTATAAAGGAAAGTTATTAAGTTAAAGCTGTTCGCATTTCAAAGTAACTAAGTTAAAAGTTAACTCATTTAAAATTAATCAGGTCACAAGTTGCTAACTTTTTGACCAAGCTTTCAACTGATCAAGCTTAGTTATTAGTTACCCAGCCCTGATTATTAGTTTATCTATATATATTCATTTTGGCATAATATTCCGTTATACTCACACTCTAATTACGTTCCACATGACTTTCATAATGTAATCTTCTTTTTCATCGCATACGAGATTACATCCCGAAAAGTGCATAACAAACGACACACTATCTTTGGTTAAAGAAGAGAAAAATAAGGGAAGACGTCGTCGACTCCACACGTCAGTCCCAATGTGCGATTTTCTTCCCATTAATTCTTGGTGACATCTCGCCGTGTTAATTCGATCTCTCACGTTCTCGCGCGATTCTCCAGCCGTCATCACACGTAGGCGAAGCGCAGTGTGTCCCCCCTTCCCTTCGCGTTGGCGCTCTTTAAAAAAATGAGCGTTATTTTAACGGATAATTCGTTTGTTCCAGGCTACGAGTGGGTCGGCTGGCGGAACGACACGCCCAACATGCTCGGACGTCCGGTGGAAATAACTTTCGAGTTCGACTACTCGAGGAACTTCACTGCCATACACCTACACATGAACAATTACTTCACGAAGGACGTGCAGGTATCGGCCCCCCGGCCACCGTTACCGCTATTATTTCGGGAGTTACGAGCGCGCCCCGGAACTACCGTAAATCTCGCGATCACACACATTGCGACGCCTTGGCGCAAGCGCGCGCGCTTTTGAGCCGGTCTTTAAAAACATTTCCTCGCGATTTACAGCGCGGTAATTCTTGCCGGCTGCTCCGGAGCTTTCGGCGTTTCCATCGACGACAGCGTGTCGATGCCGCCGAGCTCTCGCTCGATCGCGCGCTCGAATGAAGGGCTCTCATCCGCGCGGTCTACCTCGCCCTAAATGTAGCACTTGAGCGTACGTTTCTCTTGCCGTCGCGCAATTTAACGATAAACTCTCGCGTGAAAGCCTCTTACACTTTCGAGGATGTATTGCTCAGAAATAGTGAAAAAATTTTTAAGACATTAAAGATCAATCCATGTCGTATACAAAATTGATCGCGCGCAATCTGGCGTTGATCTAGAGTCTGGATCAAAAGCTATTCTACTTTGAAGCAAGCGTAACAACGTCAAAATGAGATTTTGATGACGAATTGATGATGTTAACGTATTTAGCGCCGATGACACGTCATTCGACATCATCCTGCTATTTGGGACTATTTTTAGTAAAAGATAAGTAAAAATCTGGATAAACAAAGTTAAGGGGGCAAGTCACCTTTTCAGGCCACGAAAAGACAACAATATTCGGGAATTTATTTAAAGGAAATAAGAATGTGCTTGAATTTTATGTATCAATTATTTAATATTTACATTTTTATTTTTGCTTTATAACATGAAACAGAAACAAATTCTGACAAGAAACTTTAATCTCTTCTTTAAAACGAGTCTTCGAAAAATTCAATGATTTGAAAATAGAAACTGGCTCGAGGGACTATAACTACAACGCTATCTTGCGAGAAACTTTTCTCATTTTCTCGATTGGACTATTGCACAAACGCAATTCATGCGAGCTAAGGATGCTGCGACGTCATCTCCGCGCAATAGTAGAGCGATACATTTTTTGCTCAAATGCAGACATGCTTTAGTTACATATTTGAAATTCAAACGTATTTATCTACTGATTTTCTCCAAATAAACGCCCGAAAACACGGCTACCCATTTTGGCCTGATCCGCCCCCTTAACGACAGAAGCACGGCAGAAGATCCGGCCGCAAACTTTCGCAAGCCCCTAACGAAACGGAGAGTCGGCTTACCGCGCTCGTGGATAACATCCTCGATCCCGGGGTCGATCCTCGACCGAAGGGGCGCGATGATCATCTCGGAGCTCCTTCGGCCGGGCTCCTCGAGACACGCTTCTTTTTTTCTCCGGACGAATAAATAACGCGAAAAAGTCCCTCCCGGCCCAGGTTTTCTCGTACGCGAAGGTCTACCTTGGCATGGGCGGCAATCAGTTCACCGGCGAGCCCGTCCACTTCTCCTACATACCCGACCAGGTGCTCGAACAGGCGCGCGAGGTCACCATCAAGCTGCACGCGCGCGCCGGCCGCTTTCTCAAGTTGCAGCTCTACTTCGCGGCGCGCTGGATCATGCTCAGTGAAGTGATCTTCGAGTCAGGTAAGAGAAAAACGTGCCCTTTTCTGACGCGTTCCTACTCAATGGAGATTTATTTCTCCGTGCGTTACTTCGCGCAAAATACACGCAAAAGAGGAGAAACGGAGGAGCGCCTTCTACCATCTTTGGTCCCGTTCGCCTTCGCTTTTGCCTTCCCTGTCTTCCCTTCCTACTCTTGGCACTCTCTCTCTCTCTCTCTCTTTCTCTCTCTCGTGCGCGCGCGCGAACACGTTTTTAGTTAAACGGAAAATCAGAATAGGCGGCCCAGAAAATTGAGATCTAGAAATAGAGCAGTTTCGAAGTGTGTTATCTCGGGCGAGTGGGCGGGCGAGCGAGCGAGCGAGCGAACGAACGATCCGACACGATTTCCAATTTTAAATGACACACTTTCAATGGGGATGTGAGCGCGGGGGAGATGCCGCCGCCGCGAGGGCGGAGGTAAATCGTCCCGAGGTTCGCGTGCGCGGCGCGTTGTGAGCTCGCGGGAGAAAAATGATTCGGCGGTGTGCAGTTTCGAGAAACGCGCGTGAAATTCAAACGAGGCTCCCTCAGCAGCACGTCATTCGGCAACTCTTAATGAGTTGCCGCGCGAACGAATCGCCGAAGCGAATATTAACGCGTGAGCAGATCTCCACGGCACAGGTCGGTCGAAGGAAGCCGAGGCAAATCAACTGTAGACGCTTTTTGCGGTCGCTCTGGTCGTTCTCTCATTTTTTACATTTTTATTGTTCGGGGTTGTTAACGCGTTCACCGCCATGGGGGTTTCACCGGTGATCCCGGAACATTGTTAAAAAAAAAAAAAAAAAATGAAAAAAGGGCTTCGTGTTAGGTTGGCGCAAAAGGATTGTCGTGTTTGCCAAATAAAATGGAAAACGAAATTTTCCAATTCCGACGGATTATTAGGTTTTGCGAGTAAAATGAATAATATTTGAAGTAACCTCATAAAAATGTCACTTCTGTGTATGTTATTCATTTGAACGTAACGTCTACGCATTTTCAGTTGAAGTTAAATGAAACTGAACATTCATCAAAAACAATGACAAACGCATTGTGTGTGATCATATTTATTTTTTTATGTCATTTATTGATATTCAAGTTTTTTATTTAAGATATGTTATATTATTGATAGATCAAATGACATTAATTGGCAGGAAATATATATCCTACAACCTTTTGACTTTGTCACTTTTAAAATATCCCATAACTTTTGAAATAAAAAACGATTATACGTACTATAATATTTATATATTTTATCTCATTAATATTATTGCAAAGTAGTTGTTAATTATTTTTAATGTTTTTATTAATAAAATTTCCTCGCGAGTACTTAACAGAAAAATTATGAGTTTTTTGCACCAACCTAATAGCTAAAGCAGAAGTAAAATAATTATAGTCGGGAAAAGCTTGTTTGTTGCGAAGCAGAATGTATGCAATAACAGAAATGTATGTACATACGTAAACATCACTATTTGATTCAATAATAACAAAAACCTTGTATATGCATTTTATTATTGCTACTACCTCAGATTGGAACAATCGGTTCGATTGGCATCGAAAACAACTATAATTTGCATCGCAGACCGATAATTTTTTCCTCTTTCAGCACACGATACCGCCGTGTCTAATTGATTTCAAGCAATTGCACGCAACAAATTGAATCCACGGCCTAAAGCGAAACGATAAGACGAGCTGACTGATGCACGCATTACATAAATCGCATTTATTTACTTTATATCCTCGGTTATTCAAACTTCATCCAAGCTCCGAGATAATCCATGGAAATCGACGTGTCGATGAGCAACGGAGCGGATACGCGCGCGACGGAGAGAGAGAGAGAGAGAGAGAGAGAGAGAGAGAGAGAGAGAGAGAGAGGAAAGGAAAGAGAGATGTGTGTATCGGTCGCGATTTCGCGATCGATCGGACGACAATATCCTGGCCGGAAGTGGCCGCGCGAACGAGCGCGAGAACGCGAGAGACATTTAAAGTTCCCGAGATCGTTTAGTCCCCGCGTTGTTGCTCCGTCCGACTTTAAAGCACCGCGGAAAGCAAGAGGTAGAAGTATCCGCGGCACGTTGTGCGAATGAGAGCACGTGGCCGCAGACCGGAAACGAAACTTACTTACCACTCGAGCACACCCACACCCATCCAGACACACACCTGAAAAAGTTTCGCCTCGAAAAGCCGGAATCGTGCGTCCGCGTCGAGAGAGAGAGAAAGAGAAAGGAAGAGAGAAAGAGGGAGGAAGAAAGGGAAAGAGAGAGAAAGAGAGAACAGAGCCATCGTTAATCATTCTCTCTCAGTGCTATGTTCTTATGCCTCGCGAAAGATAACTTCGGCTGTGTAACACTCGAGCAAGGGTGATTTTCTTTGTCACCCCTCGTAACGCGGGCACACCTCACCTTGTCACGTGAAACTCCTTGCACGTATTTCCACCCCGTGCGCGTAACGCGCGCGTCACGTTGCTGGGCCTTTCAATGAGGCGCCTCGCGCTGTGCTATTTTAATTGCCGGAGTTTTATATCAGAAAAGGAGAAAGCGCGGGGCGAAAAGAGGCACGGCGGGTTATTAATACAGATGAATGGAGCGTGAAGAGGGTTTTTTTCCCCGGGGCAATAAGAGAACACCGCGTCGCGATGATTTTATGAACGGGAGGCTCGCTGGAGTCGTTCTCGCGCGCTATTCTATTAATAGAGACGCGCATCGATTGATCTGTGTTGATAATTAACGCGTTGTTATTATTACATCTCCCGAAACGAACTCGCCTCTTGCGCGCGTTTCCGCGAAGAGCAACACGGCGCAACGGTGACGTCGTGTGATCGTTAATCGTTTCCAACGTTCCGGGCCCGCCGTTCTATATATCGCGCCGCCCTTTCTACCCTCGAAACGACGGCTTTGTTTGCCCGGATAGAAAATAACTCGGATCCCCCTGTATAGATCGTCGTAATCCATACGCGCGCGGGGGAAATAGTACACAACCCGGAAAATACCGTGCCACCCGCAGCGATGCGACCGGAAATTGCGCTGAACTACATCGCGCGAGATACACGGCGAGCTTTATTAAACGTTTACCGGCCCGCTGCAACTATTACGATTACGCTACTTTTGCGCGAATGTAACTTTCAGTCCCGCAAATCAGAAGTCGCGAACGATCGCCCTGTAAGGAGACAGCAGAGCCCTCTTCTTTCCTCCTCCGTGGTGCGAATTCTCTTAAGGGTCATTTACAACGGGATTGGCAATAGACATTAAGTTCGTAAGCAGTAAACAAATTGATCGATCACGGTCAATTACAAGACTACACTGAGAGAAAAATTATATTAAAATCAACAAATATTTCCTTGATGGGTACCATTAACATATTTATTTAAATCTACATTCTCTTTAATTAAATCAAATATTGTTTATCTGATTTAAATAAACAATATTTGGTTTAAATAAAGAGAATTTAATATCAAGAAATATTTGTTGATTTTTTCCTCAGTGTAGTCGACTATGATTGGTCAATTTGCTTGCTGCTTACGCCTTACTGCCAATCCCATCGTAGATGAGTCTTTAGAGCGTAGATGTGGTGCAACTTTTTATGTAAAAATATGTAATATCTAAAAAGTTGTGATTGTATAGCCATAACAATCATTGGAAAATAAAGTGGACTAGTAACACAATAGAGTAGTAGAGTAGTTTAGCGATATTTCGACATGTGTGCTGGTGATCTCGATTGTTCTCATTCTTGCGTAAACTAGCATCATTATATTAACATGTGTTAACCGTTAGTTAACACAGACGTGGAAATCGGTCGTGAAATAAGTGAAAATTATATCGGCTTAAAGAAAACGACTTTGTTCCGCAACTGTGAATTAAATTTGCTTTGCACTGTTCTTTATGATTAAAAGGAAGATCAAAAGTATTTTAACCCTCCCCCTCCTCCTTCATGACCCGCGCTAACGGCGAAGTTCGGCCGAGAAACGACCATCTAGTTATGGACGATCGTTTCTCGACTAGTCATTTCACGGCGGACTATAGTGTCGTAGTAACAAAAAGGAATTAATTAATGAAACATTAAAAGCCGGAATTATTCCGATTGCGGAATAATCCGGAAAAGTTCCGCCGTAAAATATTAAATTCCTCTTGATTCGCACACTTGAACTATTCTATTTTTTAACTTATAGCAGACATAAATTAGATATATTTTGTATTCTACATCGAGTAAAAAAGTATTTGAAAATTTATTTGTGGGTTATAAAATTTATTCCTGCGAGATAAAGTTAATTTTTGTAAAAAATAAAGTTGCGAAACAAATTTTTGCCCCGCACACATACGAATAAATATTTAAAGTATTTTTTTTGTCTGTGTATTTTGCGAAATGTTTCAGTAGAAATAGCAATAAAGAGAAAAAAAAATTAAATTAATTTATTTATTAAAAAAGCAATCCCGCTCTGAGACCAATCAAACAATCATTTCGAATTAGAAGTTAAAATCGTTGAAACATTAAAATTTTTTTACAAAAAAAAATAAGAAATGGCAATCGATGTGAGCCAATACACGGAATTTATACACTCATCCAAAAATAGAAATTATCCTAATTAAACCAAATTGAAAGATTCGAGTATCAATCACCGAAGTCAAAATGATGACCAGCATGTCGAGAGATCCCTGAATCACCCCTGAACCAACAATCCACATTGACACAAAATCAGCGCGACTAATCGCGACAGAGCTTCCGCAGAAGCTAGCGAATTTCTCGGCGAATTAACCTTCTAGCCGTGCTCTGGGTCTTTTTTGACCCAGAGCAGTTTTAAAGTTCACACAGTTTTTCTAATATCCTAAAATACAAATGTGATACTTCGCGACTTTTCGAGTTATTTTAGAAAGAGTCAGTATATATTGCCCTAAATTATTTTATATAATGCTAAAATAAAAGATATCAAAAAATACATATATGTCAATTAAATAGTGAGTTCTCACCATTGGGTCTATTTAGACCCTGAACACGGTCAAAGTATATCCGAAACGAACACGGTTAGAAGGTTAAGAGGAACGCCGTGCCGTCGACGGCTCAACAATCGACATCTCGAACTCGGGAGCGGCTCCGCCGGCGAGTGACGCGAAAAAGTCGACGAGTTCTCAAGAGGTCGCAGAACGCGGCCTCTTTAGCAATGACTAGTTTAGCCGCCGCCGTCGGAACCGCATATCGACCGCCGATATTTAATCCGTCTCAAATGATCCGGGACGGAACTTTGTTGCCGCTGCCGGCCAGCCGGCTGGCTGGTCGGCACTCCGGGGTGTAGCGCGGCGCTTTCGAAAGTTCTGTGTCGCTCCGTTGCACCGGCCACATCGGGGGAGAACGTCGTTAATCATTCGACGTACTCCGGCGCTTCGTAACGCAAACGCGAGCGCGCTCGCGATAAGTTGGACCGGCCGGTTGGCCCAGAGGCGCGAGCAATGTTCCTCGTCACCTGTATACCACATAACTCGTATTCACGTCGCGCGAACGCTTCGTTGAGCCGCGTCATCGATAGGAAAATATATCGCTCCCCGCGGCAGTGGCGGCGGCGGTGGCGGCAACGACGGTGCTGGAGTTTTCCAACGAGCGACGAGCACGACGTTCGTTTTTCCCGCTCGGGACTCGAAAGCTTTCGAGCGAGAGGAAGGGAGAAAAGAGAGAGAGAGAGAGAGAGAGCTGGAGAGCAATTTCGCCTGCTCCTCGATTAATTTTCCTTTTTATGAGCGGCGCACGGCGCGTCTAACCGGCCGAAAATTGGAATATTTTCCGGGTGTCCATTAGTCGATAAACTCCGGCCGCGCGGCGCTAATTTTCGGTTTACCTAACGAGAAATTCCGGCCGCGTGTGACGCGAATTAAATCCCATCGGCGACGCGACATTCGCGCTCGCTCGCAGACAATCGATATATCGCGCGCGCCGAAAGCTGTATCCCGAATACAAACGAAATCCTCCGCGGGGCCACAAAGAAAAAGTAGTACGTGCCGCGCCACGCAATAGAGAGTCTCGTCTCGTCGGAAATAGCATGTACACGCTATTTAATTCGCTTCCCCGCACTCCCCCCGCGCCGATGTGTCGCGACACTTCGACGAGGATCAAATCCGCTTTCCACGACGTCATTGACGACCGGCTCCGTCGAGTTTCGCGTGGAATTGTCGGGTCGACCCGACGACGATTATGGTCTCTCTCTTTGTCCTTGTCCTCTCCATTAAAGCATTATCGAGACATTTGGGAAATGTGAATATGAATGAATTCTTTTCTTCAGATCATTGTTATAGAATGAAACGTTAGTTATTGGCATCCCCCTTAGTCATTGATGCTTTGAAAGAACTTGATTTCTCTCTTGCATCCAATATTTATTCAGTCTTGAGTTCGTGTTAATAGTTATTACTGGAAATTCGTCTCAAATATATTCATACTCAGGTTTGAATTCAGAGTTAAATGCTTTTTCGTTGAATCACGATTATAAACACAAATATCACGTATAGGATGATTAAGAAACAGTTGAATCTAACTCTGAATGAAAATCTGAGTATCTCATATGAGACTATTAATATCTGTCAGACTAGAAATGAGAATTCTTCCGTTGGCTCGCAATTCAAATAAAAAAAATGTCACATAGAACGTAATTCAATTGAATAATTCAACTTTATATCATAATTCAAATAAGACATTTGAATCTGACTCTGAATAAAAACCCGAATATATCTTGCGCAAGACAAGTTTTAGACGGCTGTTAATACGGGCTTTAGTTGTGAAGTTAATCAAAAGATTTTCCTTTGAAATCGTAGAACGCAAACAAAAAGTTTGACTGCAATGTTGGCCGCAAGGAAAACTTTCTTTCTAGAGTACCAATGACTGACGGGACTGTCAATAAATGGGCGTTTTACTCTGTGTGTATAAGGCAATAACTATTATATAATTGTAAAAAAATTACATATCTCATTAAAACAAAATAAAGTAATCTTTAGATCTTTGAAGCTACTGCTTCTATATCTAACAGAAAAGCATTAAGACGCCATAAGACGTTAGTTATCGTATGATTTCTGTTGGATAAATTTTTCTCCTGGCCTTTCATATCTTGAAGATATTCAAGGTAGCAATAATTATTGCCTCAATTTGTGCAGTATAACGAATAAGCAACGCATGATTCGATCCATCTTCGATCAGAAATCGCGATTACCCGCTTTCGTGATAATGGCCGGGTCAAATTGAACGAACATATTCGCTCCTGACGCAAATTGGCTGACCTTTTCAGATATGCCGACACGTGCATGTACATTTTGACACGTTAAATTTTCCTTTTTTAATTCGGACATTGTCGACACGAGATAAAACGAACGCCGCGGTGAATCAGCATTTACCACGAAATTCTATGAGAAAAAAATCGAATGATTGGCAGGTGTCATATTGATGTCGCTTTAAAATCACTTCCCTCAGATTTTAACGTGTTCCTCTCTGAAGAGGCTGAAGAGGGAGAGTTAGATAAACCTTAACTCTACTCCCTCTCAGCTTCTGTTGTGTATGTGCATGAGACGCTTTTGCTCGTTGCGGATGTTTACAATACATGTTTGACGAGTGCGAGCGAGTATTTCGCGCGGATTTCATTAGCCACCCCCGATCTTGAAATGCGCAGTTATCTCCGAATGGAACAACACCGAGGACGAGGAGGCGAAGAACAAGAGTGCCATTGTGCTCGCGACTGGCAGCCCCTATCAGAATAACGAGGGTCCACTGCAGAGGGACGAAGTGAAGGCCACTTTTAATAAGGAAGAGAGCAAAGATAACGCCTGTAAGTCTACTGCCGATCTTTTCCCCATTGTTATTCCGGCTAAGCTGCGTTCATAATTTTCCGCGTAATTGACGCTCCTTTCAACCGACCCTTCTCTCCTTTCCCCCTTCCCGTCACTTCTCCCATTCTCGTTGTCATTCTTTCCGGTAACGAGCTCGGTATGTATGCGCGAGAGGAAAATCGGCCGAGAGGAATCACCGTGGGATGACCAGTGACGATTTATCAATACGACTGTTGATACGAACTACTCTAGCACGTGTACGTACAGTGAGTCGCAAAATGATTTAGACACAATGAATTTCAAAACGTAGCCGAATGATTCAATGAGAAAACTTACTTTCTGACTAATTCGTTCTCTTATCGGACCAACTACTTACTAACAATTGTTGCTTTTAACCCCTTGAAACACAATACCTTCTAAATTCGGATTGTAATAAAATATCCATGTCAAAATTGAGTCATTACTGTGTGCGTATGTGTGAGACGAGCTTTCCCAGTAATTACGTTATTAATTATTATTATAATTAATTCTGATTATTACCCGTTATATTATTTATCACTCTTAATGATATTATTAATTATCTGACTGTTGCGAAGTTAAGTCCGTTAACGATTCTCAATGTTGACAGCCGATGAGCCCCCAACTTCACTGTGTCCAAATCAGGTTGCAATCTGCTGCGCATTTACGACACATCAGGATAAAATTAACCGGGTTATAATATTAATTGTATAACCCGCTGGATTCGCGCGTGGGAATTATTTTCGTTCGCGCGGAAACCGTTCCTTCTCGACATGGTGATAAATTCGTACCCGGGACAATTGAGTAGCGTAGCTATAAGCGTGACGAGTGATTGAATGATCTAAATTTATTTGTCGAACGAGGAAACACCAACGGGCTATTCCCTGACGATCGCGGTAAATAAATAATCGCGAGATGTCCGACAGGATCGCGGACGATCGCGTCGTGATCACGGAGTCGCATAGACACGACGACGACGACGACGACACATTCGCGCGCATCTCTGGAGAAATCTTGCACACCTCCGCCACCCCTCCGCCCCTTGTCCGACACGCGACATCGTTACGCCGGGAATTAATGGCGAAACGTTGTGACACGTCGCGCCGATCGGGGGTCAGAGGCGGCGAACGGTGAAAATCGGAGGGAACGCGCGCGGGGAGAAAATGAAAAAGAACACGAGACACATCGCGGGAACGAATCCCTCCCCCCCTCCCAGGAACTCTGGTTCTCGAGAGCCCGCTCGATTATCTGAAAAAGAAGCGAGCTCGCGCGGAGAAGAAAAGAGCGATCGCTGCCGCTTGTCCGTTTGGCCCCGGGCGAGTTTGTTAACTGACAGAGGAACCGCTCCCCGCTCCCCGCTTGCCGTCCCTCTCTATCCCCGCCATAACGGCAAATAAAAGCCGCGCAATTAACCTGATTAATTCCTTAACTCGCCCGCTCGAGTCGGCCCAAGAGGCGGGCGCGCGATAACGGGACGCGGTCGGGGGCTGACTAGAGAGACGCGCGTATTGAAGGCTGCCGTGGAAAAGAACAGGAAAACGGGATCCATTAACGAAACTTCTTTCATGCTAATTGATTACACTCGATATTGCCGCGCGCGGCAAGGAGGCGGAGGAGATCGATGGCGGGCGCAATTTGCATCTCCTCTTTCCTCCCGACTCGCTCGCGGGATTTTTCAATCGCCTCGCCGACGACGTCGCGGAAATCCCTTCGTAAACGGTGCGCGCGAGCTTTCCTTTACCTCGAGTTCGCTTTACGCCGTGGTCGTGTGTTCGACCGTGCCCGCCCGCGTTTCGCTCGCGCACTCCTTCCTACAGGGTGTACAAGATTGTCGAAAGCACGTTTGCAGATGAGTTCGGCAATCTTTCTTCATTGACCCTCACTGTCCGAGAAGCCACTACAGTGGCGTGGCCTCATAGACTCCACTACAGTGGCTTCTTGCCACTGTAGTGGGAATTCCGTGTTTTTTTATCAATTCTTTCTTTGATATGAAAGAGCTCTAATTCAAAGACTGTGAAAGTCGCCTGAGAGGTCAACCCGCGCCGTAAGGGATAATATCTCGAAGTTCCACGCGGTTGTTCAAGAAATGGCGGAAGAATTTTTTGTTCAGTTGAATCTAATCTACCTATACGCGTGCTTTTGACAACCTCGTGTCAGACACCCTGTATAGCGCGGAAATCCGCCCAAGGAAACGCAAGAAGGGGCCGGGGTGGGCGGCCACCCTGCGTTTATGTTTTCCTGCACTTCAAGCGCGACGTAGCTTGCCGATGCTCGTTACACGTTATTCCGCTGTGAAAAGAGAAAGAGAGCTACGAATGTATGTATGCCAACGCGAGTAATAATCCGCGCGTGAGAGAGGAGGGTGAGTTGGACTGGTCGGTCGGTCGAGGAAGGAGCAGAGAAGCTTGAAAACGTTGGAAAGGGTAACATTACGCTTTCTCGTGGAGCGGCCGTCTCCTGGAGAGAGCGAGCATGCACAACACATTATGCCGAAGGTAACTCGTAACAGTCCCAAAAGAAATCAGAGCAAAACGTCGCGCTAAAAAGCCGAAAAGGGAGATGAGAGAGAGAGAGAGAGAGAGAGAGAGAGAGAGAGAGAGAGAGAGAG